TTTAGTATATTAAAAAATAGTATATGAGAATATACTATTTAACTTTTTAATGGTGCTATGTGATTTGTTGTCAGTTTTGGGGTGGGGACAAATTAAGATAAAATCAGATGCTCATCTAATAAGCAAATTTTGTGTACAAAATCAAAAAACATAAACTTACATTTCAAACTTTTAAGTTTCAATGCAGAATTGCTTTACAAATATTCCCAAAGCTGATCTCCCATTGAAAATTTCACCAGAAAAATGGCGGCTGTAGTGTACTTGCTATCTGCAGTCACACTGGACAAGGGGATCGAACCTGTACCTGCAAGCCAAACTACATTGGGGATGGGTTTACCTGCCGTGGCAACATCTATCAGGTAAGGCATGACATGTTTCCATAAAGTCAACCCTGTTCTGGGAATCCACTTAGCTAAGAAATGTGTAAGAGCTTTGTAATCTGTGTAGCTCTGTAACAATGTGAAAGATGATTTTCATATAAATTGGTGATGAAAAGAAATTTTTCTACTATGGGAATTCCTTTGACATAGGGTAAGAGTGTAATGCAATGATTATTAAGGTGGACGGTTCTTCAGTCAGAAACACCTGGGTCTGAATTCCGCTCTGCTCGTTAGTAACTTTGTGACTTTGGGCATATGGCATCATTCTCTAAGGATCTGTTTCCTAATCTGTCAGAGGATAATAATGATACCAACATAACCAGGTCATTATAAGAATTAAATGAAGTAAGTGTATAAAGGTCACACACTGCATATGAAATACAAGAGCATAATACAGTTGCAAGTCTCTACTTATTATAAAGTAAACATCTGTTATTTGACTTAGAGAGGGGCCTAATAGATTAACTAAATCTGTCATAAGCCTCTAACTGATTTTTAAAAATATATAAACTTTGAAAAATTCTTTTGACGCTCAGAGGCTTCTAGAAATGGCTGAACGTGCTGTGATGAATCAGATGGAAAGTCCAGAAAGGTTTTGCAGTTCAGTGTGCCTGCCTAGTCTATTGATGAAACTTCAGTCAGGTCTGTTTGTGTAGATTAAAGGGAAAGCAGAGAGACTCATAACTGTAGAGAAATAAATCATCCTGTGACAACCTACTTAAATCACAGGCATTAAATGAAGTTGCTGTCTTTGCTTACAGGAGCTGCCAAAGAACCCCAAAACATCCCAGTATTTCTTCCAGTTACAGGTAAGCATGTGTGTCTGTCGAGCTGTAAGAGTTGGGTCTCAAGCCAGATAGCACAAACCTGCAACCTCCAGAGGTGGTAGAAGTAGGAGAAAGTGTAGGGCCGGGATTTCTGGAATGGACCCTTTTGTTGATCATTTGCAGATTTTTCTCTCAGGCCTCAGGTGGGCAACATCAAAGAGGGGAACGGATGCTGCGCTGAGCTCATTGTAATCAATGAATGTAATATATGCAGGCTCATTGGTAGAGGTCTCATCTCCCATGAGGGAGCTCCAGGTTGTCCTGGCCAAAGTACCTCATGCGCCTGTCTGTCACTGGAGGTTTGAGTACTACTGTGAGGCTTGATAGGTTTCACTGAAGCTGCTAGACTAAGACAGACTAAGAAGAAAGGCCTGGAGGTCTGATTCTGAATATCTGTCAATGAACACCCTATGGATCACGATGGGCACTGTCCAGGCTATAACTGATTATGGGGATGGCACAGGGCCATGCAGTCTTTTGTTCCATTGTGCACATTGAGTATTTTGAGTTTTTTATTTCATTGTGCACATTGAGTATTTTGAGTGTTTTGTTCCATGGTACACACTGAGTATTTTGAGTGTTTTGTTCCATGGTGCACACTGAGTATTTTGAGTGTTTTGTTCCATGGTGCACACTGAGTATTTTGAGTGTTTTG